CAATTCCAGCGTATTCTGTAACTTATTGCTTGGCGTCTAGTTCGAGTGAAGGAAATAGCTTCGGGATATTTCAATTATGAATAAATATTTGAATGTACCAATTCTGTACATTCTACAAATAAATTAAAAACAAAAATAATTATTTAAAAAAAATTAAAATGTGAATTTGCAAAATGTTTACAATATCTTATACTTTGAAAGTTGTAATGGCTATCTGATTGTTTGTTAGGTATTGATTTGCATCTCAAATGAAACATTGCTGATTGAATTATAAGATGCGTAGATAACTAGCAATGGAAAGATGGTCGGCAAAACGTAGGATCATAAACATTTAGAAGCAAAGGAGCCGCTTTGTACTGAGACGTCTGGCAAACCATCACAGATATTTTTTGCTATTTTTGCGTTACGACACGTAAATAAACTTTAAATTTGCACACCATGCATATATAGAAATTATTGTGTAATTTAATTTAAATATAATAAAACAGTTAAATACTTTTGACAGCATACTACTTACAAATTGTCATGTTGCAAACCATGAAATTTTGACAAATTAAATAAAATTAAACTTATTATGCAGTTACGGTCAAGAGTCAAGAGATCTTAATTTTTAGCTATAAACAACTTTTTGCTCATTTAATTTGTGCCTTAAACTAATAATAATTAAATACTATATTTGGTTACCAGAAATTATTATAATTTTTAAACTAAACGGACTCATATTAAGCATGAATTTATATTGCAATTAACATAAACGGCATTTAACAAATTGCATTTTCATTTTTTAATTGCTGATCGTTGAGTTAAAATAAGTTATGAAAATTGAAAACACTAAACATAATTTAATAAAAGGTGTGAGTTTTTGAATTTCTTTGGTAACGCCGCACTAATTTGAAGATTGGTCGCAGTGCATAGTGTTTCGAACGCACCAAAACGTCCGAAACGGATGTAATCTAATTAAGATATTATAATTAAGTTCCATATTTATGCGTGTATTAACGACTTTTGTGTCGTATTTATTTAGGCCGGCCTGTAAATTGTCTCCCAGGTGCGTTTATGATACTAATAAAGATATGCATTTTTGGTTTTCTAAGTGTCTGGTTTAATGGTTATTCAAATTTTAATTTTAGTCAAATGAAAATAATCTTTGCACAGATTATTTTTGCTAAACAAATACTTTGTGTAAGCGAACACTTCATAAATTTTATGACCGTGTAATTTTGTTTTCAGAATTAATACTAAGTTTAATGAATATTTCATTCCCAGCATCATTTTCTAATTTATCTGTTGTAATCCAAGATAAAATGAGAAAGTTACTTAACTTCAAATAGCTTTATCCAAGATAAAACGAAGAATACTGAGCGAAAACACAGAAAATCCTCTAAACAATTGAGATGTAAACAATTCTATAATACCTTAAGACATATCAAATGAAAACTGCATCAAATTGTATCCTTAAATAAGCCAATTCAAAACAAAATTCAACCCTAACTGACCAAATTTGTAAAAATATATTTAAAGATTCTGAACTTCCAATTTGGAGTAAGAAGAGGATCACTCACGGTATATTGAGACATGCTGGGTGGACTATCCCAAGACCAAGGACCTAGCCATGAGTGTCCCCTTTACTGGTGTATACTAAGGAAGATGTATCACGTATGTACCAATCTGAGGGCGCTTAGGACTACCCTCCGGTCAAGGTCATCACCACAACCTACCGTAATCCGGCTCCTGGAAACTGGGATGGGACGTCAGTTACTCAGGAGGATGCGTCGATATTTCCAAACTTCTGTCCAAAACGCTGGTAGGATGCTTGTAGTGGACTTGGCCTCATCTTCCCTCTTAAGATTTCCAATGTCTATTTTGGTCATTATCATTTAATACGCACTTAAATATATAAGGACCTAATATACGATAACGCGATACTTCCGGTATCGTTAAACGCGCCACGCACACGGTATGGTCGCGGGTAATACGAAATTAGAGTTGAAATTAAACACCATTGCGTACTTTCCCTAAAATATGAAACCGGACATGAACCACTTTTTGTAGCCATCCGGTGATTTGAACGCGACTAATCAGGTAAACCGCGGCGCGTTCCACACTCGATAAGTATTTCGTTGCACCTCTCCAGGTCTACCGAAATAACTAACGACCGACCCGAGCTGAATGTTCATCATCATCTACACACATAAAGAAAGTTATAACATTAGGTACACAAGCAAAAGAAACATAGCAATGAAATTCAAATGGTACCTGAAAAAAAATCAGATAATACAATTAGTAGATGCAAATAAAAGTGGATACAATATTTCAAAGCACTATGCAAAGATATTTACAACACGTTTCTTTTTGTGCACGATACAAAGTATACCAACCTGTTACGCAACAGTTCGTAGCAGTGAAGCACCCTCTAAACAGGTTTCGCCCAATTGGACAATAACACTTTGATAAACACTCTCTGGAAAAGCACATTATTATATTAACCATAATTTAATTAATATTACATATTACATAATTTAACAGTTTTAACACAAAACTAAACCGACACCTCGTCTTCGCGCCAAACACTCAGCGCGTCTTTGCTCAACTAGTGCAAAACCAGAGTACAAAAATGCGAGAAGTGAATAAACAACTGATAAGCAGAACGCACGCGATTGGTTACCTGCACTGCAGCGCGAACGCACGAAGAATTCACACATTCCAAGCAGATAAACAACTTCTCTTATCTCAGAGACGAAAACAATCGTTTGTTTTTCAATATTCACACAAACTCTAACTGAATACAATACGACGCACTCTCACACTAACACTACGACGTGAGTCAAATTGACCACATCAGACAAATAAATATCTTTACTTTTCTATGATTTAACAACGTTGCAAGTAAATATAATTAGATATTCTTACGTGTAGTCATGTTTGTGATGATTGTCAAGAGGACACTTATATTTTTAGTTGATTTATTATAACATTTGACGATTTTTAAAGGAGCTGCCTACGCCACCGGACACAGCAAATAGCAAATTCGCGCGCATGCGTATTATGCGCTCTTCAAGCAACTGCAACAAGTGACAACACGAAGCGTGAACGAGATACAACGAACTATAACGAAGCAAAGATTTAAAATTTTAAATCAAATATTAACGTTAATTTAACGAAAACAAACAATACACGGTTAATACAAAATGTATACTTTAGTCATATATGTTTATGTTAATTTACAAGTATTTATAAGTTTATAGATTTGTTTTGAAATGTGTACACAAAGAAAAATAATAAAACAGCGAATAAAACGTCACCTGATCACAATAAAGTAATGACTTAATAATGTGCCTAATTGCGTCGATAAATCGTACCTGTATTCATACATTAAAGCATCTAGTAATAATTTAAATAGCATTGTGCCCTCTTTGCTAGTCATTGTTAACGATCAGCCGTAAATAACGCATTAACTCGCAATGATACTCAACCTACATAAATTTACTTCTATTTTCCCGAAGACAAAACGCATCTATTCATTCCTGCGAGCACACATTGGAGCACAAAAGAAAAGTTGTCGCGTTCGACTTTTATTATTATGCTCACCGAGAAGAGTCTAATCGCAGCGTCGAGTTAATTTTATTCCTTTCAAGTTCAATATTTCTCATTCAAACCGCCGCGGCGCGCATTTATTTGAACGCGCACGCCGCCGCTTCCTTCTTTCATGTCGTGGCTGGCGAGGTCAGGTCAGGAGCATCACCATCATGTGCACCGAAGTGCACGCGGTGCGCACCATTGCAACCCATCACGTAATCAGCAGAATAATAGCTTTATACGACTGCGAACGCGAGTGCGCCTCGAACATTACAAATTTATTTTTCCACGGCGAGTTTTAATGCTTGACAGTGGGTGCGCAACGCTCATTGTTACTGCGCGGGCTGCGCAGAAAACAGAAATTAGTAAATTACGAATTTCTTTGGTGCGCAACCAACATCGTTGGTCGTTTCCCTAGCAGCCCGTGCGCACATTTTACTCAGGTTTATTTCAGCCGGGTCGTTTCGGCATGAGCTTCGTGTTGCGCACATTTAACCGTAACAAAGGTCACGACGTCGCGAGACACTGTAGGCGCTTCGTGTGCCGTTATCGTCGAGGGAAATCTTGTCCTTTTAATTCATCGCCGCGGTTTCTTCCGCAGCGCCTAAGTACCACCAATAAGTTTAAACATCTCTCGCTTCATCAGTAAAAACCAAACCGAACGATTCAAGCGCTCAATTTCTTAGGCTCGGGACATCCTAGGAAATAAAATATGTAATACGCTTTGATTTTGTAATATTATTCTGATCACAACTTCGTTTCTTTAGATTTTCGGCTTGGGGGTATCATAGTTAAACACAGTATATACAAGTCTTATGCCATGAATAATTCGTGCACTTTAGATACGAGATGAAACAAAATAATATAATAAAAATAAAGTGGGTGCATGCTCGTTAAAGCAAAATCATTGATTTAAATGATTTAGAAGACGATTTCAGTTGTAAAACATTAAATTGTGAGGTGTAATCGAATCGCACGCTTCAGAAGATAGCATCGAAGGACTGAACAGGCTATTAGTTATAATTTATTGCCGTTTAAAGATGATTTTCAAAACTTCCTCAAACTATATTGCGTTTGAATGAAATCGCATAGAATATTATCATAACCTCACAATTAACATGCATGAAAATGTTGAATTTTGAGGTTGGATTTGACTAATCTGTTTAAATGTTTTTATATTTGCTTTTAAATTACTATCCTTCAGTAATGTATTACATTGATTAGTATCTCGATTATAATCAAGATGGGTACGTTCTACATTACATTTTGATGCGTTGGATAATTTATTTAATGTAATCCACATTAATAACAAGAGGAAATCCGCTCGGATACCGATTAAGTAAACACGAAAATAAGCATGAGTTGTTGTTTGTAATTAGTTTTTGAAAATTGACAATTTTGAACCATCCTATAAATATCCTCGACAATTGTTTGCTGCCACATACTACAAACTGTGGTTACCTCTACAGTTTAGAGTAAATCAGCAGAAGTTACCGAATTTTAAGCATTATTAACATGTTTTTGAAGTTTGTAGTTTTTGCGGTAGCTGTTTCTGCAGTTGCAGTAAGTAATAATTTCAATCAGTAATCAGATTTTATAATGGTAGGTATATTGTTATTTTTTATTTTAAATTTCTATCAGGCAAACAATGCTGAATCTTCATTTCACATGAAATTTGAAAAATGTGAATTAGCCAACTATAACAAAGAATGGATTAAGGATATGGTTATTACTTGTACCATTTTGAATGAGACACATTTTAAAGTAGATGGTTCTGGACATTTGCTTAAGGATATGAATTTTGATGATGTCGTGGTAAGTATATACAACTAAAAACTTTACTAAGGCTTGACAAATAAAACTTTTATTTTATTATTAGGCAACTGGGCAAATTTACGTTTGGGATAAAGATGATTACGTCATCAAGCCTCATTTGAAAATGACAATGAAGTCCTGCGATGAGTACTCGGCTGAACGGTTTGGATATTGGAAGGAAATTGAAAATCATGGAAATTTGAAAGGATGTGGAGTTCACAAAGCTGTATGATATTATACTTTAGATTCTGCATTTATATTTCTATGATTTTTGTGTTTAGGACTTTTATTCCGTCAAAGACTACATTCCTCGCATGAAAATCAAGGATGTAACCCTACAGAAGGAAAGTCGTATTAAACTTAGTGTAAAATTGGCACTTGATAGTGCAGAGTTATTGGATCTACTCTTCTTCGTTGGAATCGCACCAAAATAATCTGGGAGAAATTCCGGCATAATTAAAAATAGATTTATTTGTCATTATGTATGCACAGCTTCAAACAAATAGATCAATTATACACTGATATGAGTTGTTTTCAATTTTATCCCCGTTCGAAACTCATCTTGATATAAATAATTTTCCAACATATAATTAATAAATAATGAAATGTTTGTTGTTTTTCAAAGTTTAATTCAGTCAATATCATAATGTCGAACGTGAAGTATTCTATACTTCTCGTTGTTATATTATGGTTTTCCCTCAGCAGTTCGGTAACAATAGATTTCAATGTCACTTGTTTCCCTTCATTAATTAATTGAGTGGTCTTGTAGGAAAATCCTGCTAAACTTACTTTTGAAGAGTTCCGTGTGTTGTCGCATAATCAGCAAATGGTTAGCAATATAAAAAATGAAATTAAACCCAATGGTCGTGGAGGTTTTAAAGTTAGCTACTCCTTGAATATTTTGAAACCGATTAATATGGATGCGGCTAGAGTAATATTTCAAAGATAAACTAAACAAAAAAGCATTAATAATAATATTTTTAGGTTACTGCAAAAGGATTTACATTCAATAAAGAAACAAATGAATTTAATACGAATCCCTTAAAACTAGTCAAGAAAATCTGTGAGGAGTTTAAGAAAACTTACTTTGTAGATTTTTCAGACATGGCAAACTATGGAAACATTACAGGATGTGGAACTTTGCGACCTGTAAGCAAAACAGTATACTTTTTCTTTCATTACTTGGTATTACTTGGTATTGAAATATTTTTTTAGGGTTTTTATGCTATAAAAGATTATTCACCGGAAGTACGTCTTCCCGATTTACGTATCCTCACAGGTCGATACAAAATGAACACCGTTATTCAGACAGGAAAGACGTTTCTTATTGATGTGGATATTTATGCTCGAATCGACTAGATAAATTAATGAAATTGGAACTAATCAAATCAAAACCGCATCACCTTGACGTGGCGCAGTTTTAGATCACACTTTTCTTTATTCGTTTGAAAACAAACATGGCATAGTGATAAATAAATTTCTGGACTGTGAATTTGTTTCAGTTTCTCAATCCTACTTGCGCCATCTCAAAATCAATTTGACAAATAAAAACGTATCTCTATAATATTATCATTGCTTTTAGCAATTTTAATTGTTGTAATTTAGCTAATAAATAAATAAATATTTTATTGTCTACGAAATCAATTAAGCTTCTACATTCTTTGTGTTAATTATTTATTTACAATCCTAATTGCTAAATTACTTAAACAATAAAATGTTGATTCAATGTTTATATTACCAGTTAACAATAATAGCATTATTAATTTTATTTGCAACAGTCTGGAACTAAATAATCATCATTTCGATTACAGGCACTATTAATAATGAAGTATTGAAATGTGGATTAAAACAGGACATCCCAATCATTATTTAATTGATGTTTACTTTATTTCCATTTGGTATTACCCTGTTCTAGAATGTATTATTAAAAGTAGGTTATTTTTAATAAATAATTGAAGCAATAAAGCACATAAAACAGTTATCATTAATGCGTATGTCCTGCATGACAGTGCTTGATTTAACTATATAAATGCCATCAGCATAAATGTATTTAGCCTATTTTTTCTGTTAAGTAAAACGACAAGTGTAAAATAAATAAGGGTACAATGCCAAAATTTGGAATTATTATATTGTTTGTAGCTATAATATTACATCTGCTGTATATCACAGAATGTGCGGTATAAATACTTTTAATGATTATTATGTGAATTATAATATTAAAAGAAAAATATATAGCAGATTTAATTGATTTAATTTTTGCTTTTAGACTCCAATGTATAAAATTTTATTTGAACGTGCAGAATTAACTGGATATAACAGATCTCTAGGCACAAATGTGATGATGAAGTTCTCCAAAATAAATCGCACAAGTTTTGCCATCAACGGCTCGTTTGATTTATTAGAAGACATGAATGTTGATTTAATGAAAGTCACTGGCCAAGTCTTCAAGTTTTCTGCAAACGAATACAAATTATATCCAGTATCTATGACGGTGGAAGTTTGTAAAGAATTTAAACGGGAGTTTTTCATGCCTTGGTCTGAAATCTTGCCCTACACGAATGTTCGAGGATGTGGGCTAATGAAAAAAGTAAATGTTGAGAAATTAAAATCGCAAGATACCTATTTGATCAAATATTGAATTTCAGGGTCATTATTATGTGCGTAATTATGTTCCGAAATTTAATTTGCCCAATTTACCGATTAAACAAGGACGTTACAAAGTCCAAGGTGAACTCAGACAACAGGGTACTTTTCTTTTTAGCGGTGCTGGATATGGAAAAGTCGAAAATATTTTAAATTGGTAATAATGTTAGATACGATTTTGGGTTTGGTTTAATTTAAGTTAATATGATATTAATGATTATAATCATCTATTGTCAATACAATTTTACTTATTAAAATATCAGCATTCCACAATTTAAAAATTTTTATTTAATTTTAATTTGACTATATTTCAACAGTACATTTATATAAAATATACATTTTATCATAGCGTAAATCTATAAATTAATTTAACTCATAGATTTGTCTGATATACATATAATTAAGCGTTGGCTATTTATACTAAATAATTGAAGCAATAAAGCACATATATATCAATTACATTAATTTGTTGTTCCTGTATAACACTGCCTAATTGAACTAGATATAAATGCCATCAACATCAATATAATTAGTCTATTTTTTCTGTAATGTAAAGCGACACGTATAAAATAGATTTGTTTAAAATGCCAAAACTTGGGATAATTATATTTGTGGTAGCTATAACACTACATCTGCTTTATATCACTGAAAGTGCGGTATAACAATTTTAATTATTATGTACTTTCTCAATGTGTTTTGATTGTTTATTGTTTTAGCGAAAATATAAAATTGTGTTCGAAAGAGGTTTGGTGACGAATTTCAACCGCACACTCGGCGGTAATGTAAACCTTAAATTTGTTAAAGTGAATCGAACCGCATTTGCTCTCAATGTGAACTTTGACTTGTTCAAAGATATGAATGTTGATTTAATGAAAGTAAGTAAATTATTTAAGTAACACCATGCTGCCTGAATAATGTACATGTTTTTTATTAGATATCGGGCCAAGTATACAAATTAACAGCAAACGATTATAAACTGTATCCTGTTTCTATGACTCTTCCTATTTGTACGATCGCAAAAAAGGATTTTGTTGTAAAGTGGTCGGAAGTGCATCAATATTCAAATATTCCATTCTGTGGAGCAATGAAAGCGGTTTGTATTTAGTTATTGAGTGAATATTACGTTTAAATTATTGCAAAATATTTACAGGGGCCATATTGGGTAAAAAACTATGTGATTAATCTCGTCGCTCCAAATCTGGGACCACTCATGTCGGGCCGATACAAAATCCATGGTGTAATCAGCGAAAATAACAAAACTTTGTTGTTTGAGGGAGATGTTTATGGCGGACTTGTACCAGTAATGGAAAATAATTAATCAAAATTGTCCTGGATATTTCATTTAAAAGTTAATGTTGTAATAAAGAAACCCTTTCAATGCAACATTAACCTACGAAAAATTATGCATTTTTTACTCCTCTGGAAGTGTAAAACGGATAATTTGTTCCACAACTCTTCATTTACATCACACAAGTTGAGAAAGTATAATTGAATTAAATGTAATTATAAACACGTCCAAATTGACCCCGTCCGCCTGTGATTAATTACAAATTCATTAACATTGAGCATAATTCATTAAAAGAAACAATTAACGTATATGGATGTTGCTGCCACAGGCACCGTGGGGATCACTTCTCTTCAGTTTTTAATTCTGCGCCGAATGTGAGGTTCGAATTTATTTTCGGCAGTGCACAAACCTTCTTTACGACCATCATAAACAAGCGTTCACAGCGTTTTATGCCGCGCGCGCGCGCGCTCACAGAAATTTATTAAATTCGCATCGCATTCGTCGGAGTCTTGTAATTCTTGCGAGTTTAATTTCAATTTGGTTCGAAGTACAACCACCAATGAATGTGTGGCAAGCCGGAGTGTTTTAGCGACGGCAACGGCGACGTTTACAATGTTTCTTCGATCAATTAAAGGCAAGCAAAGTGCAAATGCAGTTGGAACGACAGCGTTTCGTCGCAATGTGGCATCGGTGTTCACGTGTCGTGCAGGACATGTGCAACGTGTGGGTGATCACGAGCTAGACGGCATGAAGCCCCCATTAAAGTCGCGCATGCATCGATCATGAGATCATTAGCGCTGAAACAAACGCGAGGCGAGCGGCTAATCTTCGCCAAAATGGTTTTTACGATTCTTGTTAAACTGTTCAAAAGTAGTCAATAACTACTACCGCAATTGTGACTACTGAATGCTGTTAACATACAAAGTGATACCAAAGATATCTACAAACAAACCCAGAAAAACATTTCTACCAACCTAAACCGTTTTTATATAAACCTAAAATAATTATTTTGCTCAAATTAAGCGTTTAGTTATTTTTAACATTTTTACATTTTTCTGCTCGGGGTTAATATCAACACTTAGTATTTAAATGTGTGCAGAAATAACAATTACAATTTGGCTTCCAACATGGAGTTCACCAACGCACATTAACCAGTTACCACTTACTAGTTTAGCCGTACCGAAGTTAGCAATTACATTACAAATTCCATCGGTCTTTCTCTTTTTTCCGCTGTTTTCTACACTCGACAGCAGTGTTTTGTCATTTGTTATCTGTCCGTGGCGTTCGCGACGCGTCTTTCGCGCTTGTCATTAATTGTCATTACGTTTCGTCAAGCAGAGCGTTGTGTCACTCCACACCGTCGTACACAACTTGTTTTATTCATTTTTGTCACATTTCATTACAACCATTGCATTCGCATTGCACTGCATTGGCGAACGTTTTCCGCCATGTTTTCAAATTCTCGACTTGATGATAAGACAAGCGCGTTTTGTACATTACGTGCGGCTCTCGTACGCGTAACTGCACGGGCGTGTGAGAACGCTCGATAATCGATGTTGCAAAGACATAACTTAGTTTTCTTCGCCTTGCGCGAGAGACTGAGATACTTAGCGAAAATGTGGCCACTATATCTCGATGGAAGACGTGCGAGAACACACCGGTTGACAACAAACAACCGAACAACGTTTAACTAACTGTACATCAGAAAAAAAGTAATGAGGAAATTAAAATACTAACAAAAATTTTAATGTTTGACTTGCCGTACAAGTGTTGTTCAAGAGAATAAAATAAATTTGAATGTATTTTATGTATACGATGAAGAAACTCAGTAACTACTTATCTAACTTAGCAAGTTGAAGAAAATCAGAAAACATCACGTAATCTTAGAATTTATTTGTTCATTGATTAAACATTTAAAAACAATCAAGTTTGCATTCGCAAGCGTATTTTATTCTCCAATTTGCCGCCGATTGCTCCTGTTAGCTAGTACTGCGTCGAACAAGTTGCAACTACGACTATTTACTGCCGCTATAGTTGCTTTTCTTTGGCAATTAATGATTGTTTAATTCAATCACAGAGAGCAACTCGATGTGCAAACGCAACTAAAGTTTCTTTCTTGCTTAATTTAAGAGGTAATGCATATTACCATCGCATTTGTGCTTGGTAAGTCTTCAAGATAGTAAAATAATGACTATTCTAGGATGTAGAATTTATTGATTTCGATTGAATTGCAGAAATGTGGAAAACCACGTGCTACTTTGAATTTTAAACATTTTTTTCTTCAGAGAAAATCAGACAAACCAGTTTCTTGCGTTAAAGAGATGCAATTTATTAATAATAAAATATTGTGAACATTTATTGCGATTCTTTATTGTTATTACATTCGAATTGATTTTAATTAAAGAAATATTAACTTAAATTAATTTGCGTAGCTTCTTGCAGTTTTTGTATTCGTTTGTTTCCACTTATGCCTGAACGTGATAAATATTCAAGTCGGAATTACATTCTCCACCCAAATCGAATAAATTCGATATTAATGATCGCAAATCCCTTGAAATACTAGTACTAGTACATGTGGAAATTTCATCCTTTTGTCCATGCATCGAAGTAGTGATCTCGTTCGTTCAAGGCACGTATTTAGCGAAAACGCAAAAGAGAAGCGCGTAGCAATAATCTGGAATTTATAGCGGCCGCCAATTTACGACACAATTAGGTAATGCGCGCATCGCTTAAAAGCCGCACAGCTTCATAAACAAACGTGTTCATTGAGGACGGGCTTACGGGCATGACTGCAAGGAAAGTCGTCTGCATGGATGCCGAATGCTGAATCCGAAGGATGCAAACGATTCGGTCAATGTTCATTATTGGACAAATTGGGCGGCGACGATTTATCCATTTGGGGCTTTTAGATAAACGAATGCCGCGCTTGTAAATCTCGTGCAAAAATTAAAATAAGTAACCTTTAAATGTCGCTACTAAAATTCCACGCAGAGATACACGCTGTATAAATTTGGTCAATCATAAATTGCAATCAATTTTTATTGAATTATAAATATGCAGAAATTATTAAAATATCGAATCAATTATTTATATGTAAAATTTTAGGATGTTCGGTACATGTACCGCAACTCAAAGCATAGGACCAGGTGAAATTTCTGCCTGAGTCATTATTTTAATTACTTTAATTGAGTGAAACAAGTTAAGATAATAATAATAATAGTTAAATTTTCTCTTCGGGACAAAACTAAAAAAAGTCCAAAGGTCGTGACTTGAACCTCTGTCATCAACCAACGTGCTTCAGCCCTACGTGCCTCTTTTGATCCGGTGCCGCAAGTTCATGATACTGATCATAATCTTTCATAATAATCATTGTTCTTACTACAACATATTCACAGAATTTGACTTCTACTCTTGACATTTACATTTTTTTAGAAAATAGTGAAAATAATGATGCCTTATACAATACTAGTGTGTTTAAACCGTATTAAACTCAATTAAATGATAAAAAAGTTTGCCATTTTACTAGATTTGTCGTTGACATGCAAAATAAACAGAAATAAACAGTACAATCTTTTTTCCACTTCGGCAGAAACCAAAGCAAGACAGCAGTTAATTAAAGAGCAATAAAATTCCAATTACTTTGAAAAAAAGTGGAAATATAATAGAACATTGAGACTATCGTTAGGAATCATTGAAAACTATCGATGGAAAGAAGTAAACTTTTTTTTTAAAGTAATTAATTAAATCAACTCTCAACTTAGTATAGTCTTTCGTCTTACTTTATTTATTTAATTGATTGGTGCAAAATTGCTCTTAAAGTAAGTAGTGTATGTAAAAAGTCTGAAGTACCTTTATATTGAAGAAAATGAAGCTAATCGTCAATTAGCGGTTTAACAATTAGCGCACTGATAATTAGCTCATTTACAGTTAATACCAAATGAAGCAAAAACTCATAAATCATTTTTTATTTATTTCTAGTACCTATAGTCTTACATCAATTTTTATTTAAAAAATAATGTGCATTTAATTGTTATTAATGTAATTATATTCTGTAATGCATGATTGTAGATAATTTATTATAAAATACTAAACGATTCTTAATGTTATTAATGTAGATTGTTATGTGGCAAGTGTGAAAGCAGTAATTATTTTTTATTAAAAAGGATGATGATTACTAGACTTAGAGAAACAATCAACCTCAACGCGTACAAAGCAAAAAAGAGAATAAAAAGTGTTGTGCGCTATGATTTGTTACGAGCATTCGTAATAGCTAATTATATTTCGTTGCATGCGCATTGTGTGCGTAATTAATGCACAATAATTAATAACAATGCAAAGCGACGGATAATAAATTATATGATCGTAAATGTTGAATGTTTTAAAGATCATGTAGGTACAATAATATATCATCAATATCAATAGATGTGTTTGGGAAATATATTGTTTCAAGTTTATTTTTTGAAAATATAAATTATAGCTAAAGCTGTGAAATTTTAAGATTAGTTAATATCGCTGGTAGCTGAGTCTGTGTGTGGTCATTTTCCTAAAAAAAAACTTTTCTACTAACATTTCGCACCTTTAATCTACTGTAAACAATTTTGATATGCGCTTCTTTTTATACGTATTAAGAAATTATATGCCTGCATATAAATTACTCAGTTTGTGTGCAAAATTAATAAACACGTTATATATAGCAATTAATAACTTCAGTCATTAACAGGCGACGCGTATCGCCCTTCAGCCACAGACCGCAGAATTACATTAATATAATGCATGTTCTAAGAACTTTATTAAAATATTACCAAAATTTTTAATTTAAGCAAAATTTATATTTTAATCTAGATAAACAATTATTACATAAGGTAAAAATATATTTTTTATGTTTTCCTGATCTTTACAGACCAGAATTATGATTGCAATTAATTGTTTCAGTTTGTATATCACCAAGGATGTATTGAAGGTCGCTGGATTATATGTGAGATGAACGCCCAGAATTAACCAACA